AAGCTAGGTGCCCTCTTTTTTTCTAACCATCCTCACTTCCTTTAAGAACTTTAGGCTGGAATAGAAATTCAGTCACCTCCAAAATCCTTTGTAGAAGGAGAAAGAGAAAACATTTTTTTTAAAGAGAGAAGGAGCATAAAAGTGAGAAAGTTTCTTTATGATGGCCATATACTTTCTGAGAAGTAAGAAAAATGGAAAACAGAAGGCAGTTCAAATGAGCTGAAATAAATAATGAAGGCCCAAGGATTCATAAATTGATGCATGCTGCACTGCAGTTGTGTAAATAAGACATGAGATCAAAACTTGGAAAAATTTTGATGAATTCTCCTTGCTTCCAGCCTATCTAACACCTATCCCATCATAAAATAAACTCTACATGAGGAAAGACGCAGTCTGGACGAAAAAACCCAGGACCAGGGGAACTGGGGTTCTAGTATTAATACCACCTCCATCTACTGACTATGCGATTTTAAGCAAGAGGTAGCATAGCTCTATCAATGTGAGATCTTTAAATTAACACTAAATGATTTCCAAAGTTTGTTTCAATTCCAACAGTTTATCAGACATGATTCATTAGGAATCTCTAAGGTAGTAAGAATTAAAACCTTTACTTAAAGGGCCTAATAGTGAATATTTTAGGCTATGGGCCATATAGTCTTTGTGGTAACTACTCAATTCTGCTGTTATAAAGCAAAAGGAGACACAAACAACACATAAACAAATGAGTATGCCTGGGTTCCAGTCCAATTTTACTTATGGAAATCAAAATTTAAATTTGATATCATTTTCATATATCACAAAGCGCTTTTCTTCTTTTGTTTTTTTTCAAGCATTTAAAAATGTAGATATCATTCTTAGCTTGCAGGTTGTACAAGCTAAGAGTAAGCCCACAGGCCATATAGTTTCCCAACCCTTGATCTATAACATCAGATGAATACTGTGATCCTGAAAATCAAGGTGGTAATTCTGGGTGGCCTTGGAAGGTCAGTAATTTGCCTTCAACTACTTACAATAGCCATTGAGGACATTTTTGTTTACTTGGTTTCTCAATTAGCAAAATTAGTAACTGTTTTTGAGCCTCAGCCAATAACCAACAATTACTTTAGTTTTTGCTACATTTTCAGACCTGTAGAAATGCTAACATAATCACACAAGAAATTGTGTACAAAAAATTCAGGGCTCACTGGCAGAAAAAGTTTTGATACCTGTAAAATGAGCAAGAAAACTTTACATCTTCTCTTGAAATCATTCCATGCCCTTGCTAACGCTAGTGGCCTCTTTGTACTCTTACCCTCTGCTAGGCAGCATAACGAGTGATTGTACACATTTGAGGAGGAAATGAAACACTGGCTTTTGTCATTATTGCTTTGATATTTTTGTTTAGGAGAGAACAAAATAAGTTAAGAACATGGCTTGCATTCATATATGCCATCTATGTGCATTCTACAAGTATAGTATGAAGAATACATACACAGTAGAGATGTGGAGCAATGTGTAGTGGTGCTGTATAACATGGCATGGGGAAGACTTTTTTTTTCTTTGAGACGGAGTCTCACGCTGTTGCCCAGGCTAGAGTGCAGTGGCACCATCTTGGCTCACTGCAACCTCCGCTTCTTGGGTTCAAGAGATTCTCCTGCCTTGGCCTCCCCAGTAGCTGGGAATACAGGTGTGCACCACCACGCCTGGCTAATTTTTGTATTTTTAGTAGAGATGGGGTTTCACCATGTTGGCCAGGCTACTCTCAAACTTCTGACCTCTGGTGATCCACCTGCCTTGGCCTCCCAAAGTGCTGGGATTACAGGCATGAGCCACCATGCCCATCCAGGGAAGACAATTTTTTAAAAGAGAAAAATTAGATAATCAAATAACCAGTCTTTTATAGAGTGAGGGACACAGTTTTGATTCTGAGACAGCAAAGATGAAGCACTAAGATGACAGCACTTCTTTCAATCTCATTGAGAGGGTATGATATCATTTAATTAGAAAACTATTAATAACACCCCTCTCCTAGTTAAGGGGTGCAATTGGGAAGTACTTGGGAGGCGGGTCCCCTCTTAAGAGAGAGAAAACCTAATAATGTTATATCCATTCAGGAAACTGTAAAAAGCTTTGGAGTATCTCCTCATTCATGTCCATTCTTTTATTTATTTATTTATTTTTGTCATCCAACGACTTCTGAACTTTTTCTTGGCTTCCTGCTCCCCAAAGGGTACCCTGCTTCTGCTGGCTCAGTGCCTCAGAACTTTGGTGTTTTTAGTCTCAGACACCACTTTGCCATCCACTATCCTGGACAGTCTTTTGGATGGTTTGCATAGAGTTGCTGCTGTCCAGGGCATCACTACAACTGAAGTCCTCCCCATCTTCCAGCAGGCAGCAGTAGGTGGCAATCTCAGCCTCCAGCTTGACCTTGATGTTCAGCAGGGCCTCATACTTCTGGGCCTGGCACTGCCCCTCTGCCTGGGCCTGTGCCAGCTCTGAATCCAGGTGCAGCAGGGCCCCACTAAGCTGCTCCATATGCATGGCATAGCAGGCCTCCACCTCCCTCAGGCTGTTCTCCAAGCTGGCCTTCAGATTTCTCGTTGAGTCTAGGTTTATCTCTAAGGACTGAACTATACAGCTCAGCTCCATGAATGTCATCTCAGCAGCTCCTATTTTGGTGGACTGCGTGGTGACCACTGTGGTGTGCTCCTCAGTCTTCTGGGACCAGTACTTGTCCAGCTCTTCTCAGTTCTTCTGAGCCAGCTCATCATACTGGGCCAGGAGGTCTGCATGATCTTGCTGAGGTCTTGAGATTGGGGGGCATTTACCTCCGTGGTCAACCCAGAGCTGGCAATCAGGGCTTGTAGACCTTTTACTTCCTTCTCTTGGTTCTTTTTCATGAAGAGTAGCTCCTCCTTGAGAGCCTCCATCTCTGTCTCCAGCAGTAGCCGACTGACATTGGTGTCATCAATGACCTTGTGGAGCCCATGGACGTTGCTCTCCACAGACTGGCACATGGCCAGCTCTGTCTTATACTTGACTCTAAAGTCATCAGCAGCAAGACAGGCATTGTCAATCTGCAGAACAACATAAGCACTGTCCACAGAATTTCAAAGATATGAGCCCTCAAGTCCTTGATTGTCATGTAGTAATGCCCCCAGACTCTGACCTGGGGTCTCTTCTTCTCCAAGTACTCTCAGATTGTGCTCACCAGCCTCTGACTTTTAGTCACCAGAGTCCTCACTCTGTCCAGGTAGGAAGGCCAGGCAGTCATTCAGGCCTTGCATGGTATCCTTCTCATTTTGGATGTCCCCCATTCCTTCCAGACCCCTGGCCATCCCTGCAGCCAGGCCTCCAGACCCCCAGCCACCCCAGAAGCTTATGGAGAAGGACACTGAGGTTCAGGAGCCCAAGCCCCTGAGGCCTGCATAGACTTTGGCTGCGCTGCTGATGGACCAGACAATATGGCTGTGTGGCTGGATGGAGTGCAGGGACTGGTAGTTGGTGGAGGCGGTAAAGCAAATGGTGAAGCTCATGCTACCTAAGGAGAAAAGCCATATGACAGGACTCAAGTTCTGTTGAGCCAAGCCCATTTTTAATTTATAGCTTAACTGAAGCCAGTATGAACATTAGAAGTGTAAGAAAGTTAACTTTTCCAATCTCAAACTTTGAACTTTTGACCACTTTCCTCCAAAATATTAAGGTCTCAGAGTCAGTTCTGACCAACTAGTCTCCACATTACTTTCCATCATTTGTCTCCATATTATTCTCCAGATACTCAGTGCTCATTCTTGCCTTGGCCTCTTTGCTCAAACTACTCTCTCTCCCTGGATTCTGTTCCACCTTTCCTGTTCCTACTCATATGCTACGACCCAGCATTAGTTCTAGCTCTATGATAAAGACATACATGCTAATTCCAGCCATAACAAAATATCCCCCAAATAATACAAGGGAAGAAGTGCTCTGGAAACTACAAAATGATCTGCAAATATGAAGTATTATTGTATTTTGGAGAAATTAATTGTACAATAGGGTTGGCCCATTGTTATATCTTGTTTTAAAGTGTTTCCTAGTTGTTTCATGTGTTGTTGACCTAACATTACAAAACCACAGGCTATTAAGACAGGAGTCACATCTCATTTCCGGTATATCTTCACAGTTCCTGACAGAACATAGCTGCAGTCAACACTCAATTCCAGTGAAATGAATTCATCAAAATAATGGATTTCTTAGCCACAGAGCTTCTCACTGGGCCAAGTAATGTTAAGTTGCTAAACACACAACAAATCATTGGTTATGTTATATGACTGCAAATGAAGCCTTGAAAGTAGAATAAATTTGAGAGGTGCAGTTGATGAAATTCAAGCATCTTCTTCTTTTTGGTTCATAAAGCTGTGATTCAGGAGAATTCCTTCAATCAGAGATGCAGTGCTCTAAGATTGAATAGTTTGCTTCATGGTATTTCTGAATTTTGTTTAGGGTCAAAGGTTCAAACGGTGCAACTCTCCAATTTGGTATTGATTTTTGTTTTCCCTTCTTGATTCAGTGGTGGAGCACGTAGCCTGTCTGTCCTACTTCCTTTGGTTGTCCTGATTGATGCATCTTTTGGTCTAACAGGCCATAGCCTCAAAGCAAAGTCATGGCAAGCTTTAGTTGGCAGTAAGGTAACAGCAGTCTGCCAATAGCGTGGGCCAACTCCAGTTCCAGCAGCCTGGCGGCAGAGGGTTTACTTGATGGACCCAGGGCCGCTTCCCCAGTCTGTCCCGTGGGTAGAATGATCCTTGCCTTAGTCTGCTTCGCAAGGCTAATGGAAGAATTAAATGCCAAATAAAATAAGGCGAGATAAAGATAAATGAAGCGTGCTGTTATTATAACTGGTACTTCGTCCTCAGTTCCCTCCAGGAGGGTTGTTGGAGCACCTAATGACCGGGCCTAAGCTGACTTGTCCCCCACATCTTGCGCCCCACTCGACAGTGGGTTGGGGAGTGAGATGTTCATCAGACCCCAGAAAACGCACTTACGTCTAGACAACTGTGCAGCTCTCCGGAGTTTGAGATCTGAGCTTCCCAGCCCCGCCGCTTCGCAGCCTGGATGCGCAATCTCTATGGTGACAGCGAGTGGGCCGGAAGAAGCCTCTCTCTTCCGCCCAACAACCCGCCCTCGGGCTAGACTGACCAATGGCCCAACGAGTTACGGAGAGATTATGTGATTGACATGGGGGGGTGTGGCGTGCAGCTCGGACCGCTGCTACCCAACCGAACTGAGGTCGGGCCAAGGGCCGACAGGCACCGACCAATCGGAGGGCGTAACAAAGGGTGACGAGCCAACCCACCGCGCTCGGCGTTGCCGGGAGCCGCGCTAGGCGTAAGCTAATAAGGAAGAAGTTGGGCGTTGAGAGAGCGACGCTGATTAGTGAATGTTAAATCACCTGAATGAAAGCCCACTTGTGATTCGCCCTAAGTAAACTGGAGCCCGGTGGGCTGGAACCGGCCGGAATCTGAGGTGTGAGTACTGCCTGGGTGGACAGTGGGATCCAGGTGAGGCGGGCAGAGGTGAGGAAAGCAGGGCGGCTGCGGAGAAGGGAGAAAAGTGGCGGGTCGGGCTGAGGTGGTTGGAAGAAGGCGTGGGCGGACGGCGGTGCACGGACCTCGCAGACCGCCCTTACCGCTGATCTGGCCCCAAGGCCCGGCTAATAAATACTTAATGTGAGGCAGAGAAGGAAGGGCTGTTCTGTGTTTCATACTCTTAAGAAAAGGAAGTGTCAGTGCCTGATTCAGATCTCTTATGATCAAGACCTTAATCCCTCTCCAGCTACTGGGAGGTGGCCAGGTGAACATTCTGAAGACGAGACATGGGGGGTATCGTTTTCCTGTCGCCAGTTTGAATCTGCAACAGAGTTGGGGAGAAGCTTAGAGTTCCAGTAGAGTGTTCCCAGGCTGCAGTGCTGTGAGATGCAGAGAGCGGAGAGACCGAGGCTCTGCAGCCGTTCCAACCCACAACACCGTCCAGGAGAGAGATGCAAGGACGAGACCTAGGTTTACTGATCCTCCTTTTCTATCAACGTGTTAAGAGCAGATGCTACATCGGTGGCATTTTGGGAGCTTGGCAACTGATTTTTTTCCCAGGCTTGCATTTTATCTCATTACAAAGGTAGAGGCGTTATTCTAATATTTTAAAATTCAAAAGATAGTGAAGTATTTAAAGTAGATACATAAAAGTGTGAAAGTAACCGCCCAGTTGTTTTTGAAGGGTTGGAAAACAGCTATAAAGCAAAGTGGAAAGAACTGTTCCAGAAGAGCACTTCACTCCTGTAACCCACTGTTTTCTGTTGCTTTCAAGGGCTTGAGTCAGTGTGAAAATCGGGGGATGGGTGAGATATCTCCCACCAGCAGCAGCACTTAGGCCACATTACCCTCTGAGGAATCCACATTTGTCTTAGGTAGTAAGTCATCTTATAGTGGCCGTTAGTATTCTCACTCATGATGATCAGCCTGGTGATGAGTACTGTGTTTTTAATCCATTAGGTTACCTGTGCAGGGATCAGTCAATTTATTCCTATTTTCTCTGACAGCTGGATGAAAGGGTATGTAGAAACAATCGTTAAATGAACACACACATCTAAAAGGTTTTGAACAAACTCTTTCCAGAGAAAAACCTCACAGCATTGAGCACAGAAGGAAAACATTGGCCTTTTAGTTGCTCTTGTCAGCTGCTGAACGGTTCAAATTTAAATTATTTTTTTCCACTCCAATCTACCTGCTTTAAATGCCACAGATATTAAGTAAATGGACTTACCCTTGAAATCAGGTTGGCCAAGCCATCACTTCTCAAAGAAGGTTTACTGATGGCGTGAACAGTAAATAAAAACACTTCCGTTTTAATATTTTATTGTATTGTACTCAATAACAATAATTTAGCCATTCTAATATGGGAAATTATCACAGATATTATCACATTGAAATAAGATGAAAATGACTAGATGTTCTCTCTTCCCCTATAGCAGCACTCTATACTATACCCAGCTCTTCTTTCTATGCTTTGTAAGAAAATGTATAGTTTGCTTATAAAATTGTGAGCTCCATTCTTAAAAGAGCTTGGGAATATTTATCTTATTTACTTTAAAGCCATACCATATGTAAACCAATGTCTCATGAACTCTTAAGCTACTAAGGGGGATTGAAGGGCAACATTTCTAATGGTGCCAGCCAGCTTCAACTACCATTTGCCCTCTATTCTAACTGTTAGAGTTGATCCAAGTCTTCTAGGTTATTTGTGTAATATCCAGAATAGCACAAATTAAATTTAAATAGTTGTTTTCTTAAGGGCAGTACCATCAGGTCAGACAACTAAGCTAGAAACTTGTGTCATTTCTAACACCTTCTCCCTTGACACAGCTAAGACTGGAGTTCAGACCCTCATCTCTTATCTGGAGAATTGCGTTTCTTAACTGATCACCCAATTCATATGCATTCTGCTGCCCATTACCTTTTTAAAAATTAAAAATTATCACAAAAAATTTAAAAACAGAAAATAGTACATTGGGTAGTATAATATCTATGTTTCACCAATCAGATTAATAAATATTAACATTTTGGCACACCCGTTCAAGTTTTTTATTTTAAAGAAATAAAACATCACAGATTTAGTTCAGATCTCTTTTATTTCCACTCCCAACACCATTCCCTTTCCTTCCTCCCTCTCCAGAGGCAAACAGTCTTTTGAAATTGTCATACATCATTTATGCCCATGTTTTTATACTTTTGCCGTATATATGTATGTCAGAAACAATACATATTACTGCTTAAATTGTATTTAATTTAAAAAATACAAGTAGTATCATACTGTGGGTTCCATTTTGCAACTTGTTTTTGTCACTCAACATTGTTTTTTTGATATATTCACATCAATACATACAGATCAATTTTGTTTTAAATATTCATTATGAATATATAATATTGTATCTGTTCCCTGATTGATAGACATTTAAATTTTTTCCTGATGTTTTGCTATTGTAAACAAAGCTGCAATAAACACCTTGTACATGTCTCTTTATGCAAGAACTTTCTAGAACAGTGGTTCCCCAAAGAGATGTTGCTGCCTGTTTTAGGGTGTTTTGGAATTTGTGAAGATGTATTTTGTTACTCTTTGATTGGAGGCACTACTGGGGTTTACAGATCAGGAATGAGGGATACTGGATGTTCTGTAATGTATGGGACAGTCCTCACAACGAAGAATTGTCCTGTATCCTGTGCAACTTTTGAGTATCCCACAAGATACTCATTTATAATTATCTGAGTCTAGAGCCGAACTCCAGTTTTTGTATAAACATAATGTATTTTTTGGCACAGTTTAATATAGTAAAATTTCCAGGAATGCAGCTCTAATGTAAATCAGAGGAAAATTATACTTATTTGTGGTTTGGAACTTTAACAAGAGTTGTTCATCACTCTAGCAAATCACATAACTGAAGGCAGCACAGCTCGTGGTATTTGAGTTGCCAGAACAACACACCTGCATAGTCTGCATTTGAAGCTTTTGCGTTTGTGGTGATTCTAAGTTTAGGTGCAAGCATCTGACTACTGTACTTCATTACGTATTCTAGTGTAGTCAGCCTGAACATTTGTATATTTAAACATAAGCTATTTCATTACAAATTACTTTCCATTTAAAATCGACTTCTGTATATCATACAGAGATCTAGTTTTATTATTTTCCTATTGGAGAATCATTTGTCCCAGCACTATCTATGAAGTTCTTTACCCACTGAATCATAAAGCCAGCTCTGTGCTTATAGGAAGTTCTCACAAATGCACGGATCTGTTTCTGGGTTCTTGATGTTATACCACTGGGCCATGTGTCTTTGTGCCACTATCACACTGTTTTAATTACTTTGGTTTTTTAATGTGTCTTGCGGCAGTTGGTAACAAGAAAGGCAAGTTGCCATCCTAGTTCTCAAAATTGTTTTGGCTATTCTTGGGTTTTTGCTCTTCCATATGAATTTAGGATCTGTTTTCAAGTTCCACAAAAAATTGTTTTTAGACGTTGGTTAGAATTGCATTGAATTTATAGGTTAAGGAAAATTGAGATTTTTTAATTGAACCATCCCATCCAGGAACACAGGTTATTTCTCTGTTCAGGTCTGCTTTATTTCTCTACCCAGGTCTTTACTGTTCAGGTCTGCTTTATTTCTCTAATCAGGTCTCTCTCTCTCTCTTTTTTTTTTTTGTCTTTGAATAAAGTTTTATAATTTTAGCTATACAAATCTTACTCATCTTTTGTTATAGTCATATTTATACAGATATACATATACATCTTTTGTTATAGTCATATTTATACAGATATACATATACATATCCACATCTTTTTGTTATGAAAGTTTCAAATATATTCAGATGTATAGAAAATTCCAGGATAGCAAACATCTACATACTCATCACCCAGCTTCAACAACTAGCTCATGACCAGTCGTGTTTTATGCCAGCCCCTTCACCTTCTCTCACTCAGATAATAGAAAGCTCCCAGAAACCCTTTTCTGTTATCTGTAATGTGCTACATGTGTGTATGCATATATCTTTATCATACTCTTTTAACAACATAATAATAGCATATTTTTCAATAATGTTTTTTCACTGAAAATACAAACAGTAATTTCCTAATACTATCAATTATCTGGATATTCTTCAGATTTCCCCAATCATTTCATAAAAGGTTTTTGCAATGCTTTGTTTGAATCAGGACCAAATAAGGGTCCGTATACTACACTTGGCTGACACATCTCTTGATATTCTTTCTGTAAAGTAAACATTTTAGTGAAGGGTAATACACATACAGAAAAGTATATAAATCCTAAGTGCATGGTTAGATACAACATCACCGTATGAATAAAGCCAGGTGACCAAAACCCAGATCAAGAAACAGAATTTTATCAGCATCTCATTGAACCCCCTACAGTCACTATGTTTCACAAGCCAACCAAACCCCTGACCTCTAGCGCCTAAAATTAGTTTGACCTGTTTTTGAACATTATATAAATGGAATCATATACTATGAACTCTTTAGCCTCTAGCTTTTTTTTCATTCAATATTTGTGAAATTCATCCACATTGTTGAGTATAGTTATAGTGTGTGCTTTCTCATTGCTTTATACTATTCTCATTGCTTTATACTACATAATGCTTTATATACTATATGAATGAATAGATTGT